AAATACACCAGGGGAACCCCTGGGGTGGGAGAAGGAGTGAAACGCAGAGGCACACCCCTCTTTCATGTCGGTGGGGAGGGCGGTTGGCGGCGAGCGCTCCCAGCCCACGGAGGTGGGGCGCGGGGACCGGCCCCTGGCCCCCCAGCCCCCCAGCCCCCCAGCCCCCCAGCCCAGGCCCAGAGTCAGGTGCTCCGGAGAGGTGGGTGGGCCCGGAGGGGCCTAGAGAGGAGATCACCCTGACATTCCCAGGGCGGGCGGGCTCAGCTGACCTAGAGCCTGGCCTTCGTCAAGGAAGCCACAGGCCCAGGACAGGACTCCCGGCCATGACCCTGTTCGTGGGGACGGTCTGTGTTCAGGCCGCCCCAGAGGTGCCCTGCGGTCTCTGCATGTGTGAGGTTGAGCACTCGGGCGGTCCCTTTTCGTCCACACCCTGAGTGGGTCCTTATTTGAGACAGGGTCCTTGCGGATGTGACGAGTTAAGGCGAGGTCACGCAGGGGTGGGATGGCCCCTAACCCGATTTCACCTCTCTCCACGAGCAGACAGAGGCACGCAGGGGGGAGGCCGTGGGGCGACAGACGCAGAGATCGGGGCGATGCTGCCACAAGCCGAGGGGCGCCTGGAGCCCCCAGAGCTGGAAGGGGAATGAGAGGACCCTCCCCTGGTGGCGTCGGAGGGAGCGTGTCCCTGCGGACACCTCGAATGTGGACCTCAGCCTCTGGAGGGGAGACTACACTCCCACTGTCTCGGCCCGCTGTCCTGGCACCTGGTCCTCAGCCCCCGCCGCAGAGAGCGTGTGCGACTTCTGCGGTCGCTGTGGGGGCTGAGGGGCTGGGGGGCTGGGAGGCACGGGTCCCCTCCCATGCAGAGACTTTACGGAGCCCTCCCACCCCTCCTGTGCTGTCCTTGAGGGTCTCGCCCTTGCCTCATTCTGTGGCCCGTGTCCTGGAGTTCCTTGCTCTTGAAACCCACCTCCCCATTCCCCTTGGGGTTTGGAGCCGTGATCCATCCGGGGCAGGATCCAGGTGTTGCGTCCTCTCCACCCTCACCCCCTGCTCTTGCTAATGAAACGGCAGCTCCTAAGGGACCTGCCTGAGCTCTCCTGGGGTGGGGGGTGGGGGGGTGAGGGCGCCCTCTTCTGGCCGCCTCTGGCATTTACCCCGGGTGCACCCAGGCCTCTTCTTCCCCCCAGGGCCTGGCCCGCAGCAGGAGATCCCGACCCACCCCGCAGGGCGGCCTCCACCTCTGGGTCCTCCGGGGTCGCCTGCCCGCCCCGCACGGCCCGCGCACACAATGGCCCTTCAGTGCCGGAGGCCGGGAGAGCGCAGGAAGGGAGAGGGTGGCGGTGCTAAACCGAGCCGATGTCGGACTTCACGCCCGAGAGAAAATCAATCCTGAGGCCACGGTTGTTCAAGGAAGAACCAGCCCGCCCATTTCTTTCCAAGTGGAATTCATAGTTCAACGCAAAAAAAAAAAAAAAAAATGAGTCACGGAACTTCGGTGTAGCCTGGTAATGAGAACACCAAATATCTCCTAGCGCAGAAGTTGGAGTCCCGGCCCACGGTTCCTTGGACCGTGTCCCGCGGGTTTGCCGTCCTTAAAACCAATCAGCTGAGCACGGGCTGCAGCTCGCCCGATTCCGGGAAGTGTGCTGTATTTTTAACCGGCGATCTGACACACAGTTTCCTAGCGCCAGCCCAGCGCTGGCTCCTGGCTTCCGCTCACAGCCACCCTCTCGTTTCCCCACGTGGAGGGGTTCACCTGCACCCCCAAAGGGGCCGGTTCACGGTAGATAGAAAGTTCTCCCTGTTTGGCGTTTCTTTGCAAGAACGTGCATCATTGTTAGAAGGCTGTTCCCTGGGCTCTGCAAGTGTATGCCTCGAGGGGCAATGCTTCCACGGACACCTCGCCTCCCACGTCCAGTTTCCGTGTCAGGCTTGGTGTCCACATGCCTCTCAGCGACAAGGACCTCGCTTCCTGTCTGTCCGATGGGAAAAGTGGCTTTAGGAGAAAGCGAGGAAAATCCAGACAAAGATTTTCACGCGCGCAGGGGCGGTGGTGGAGCTGCGGTGCATGAGCTGCCAGCCTCGGAGGCGGCCCTGGGGCCCAAGAACAGCCGCTGGTTGGTCGCTCAGGCGGCAGGCCGGCTGTTCAGGTTGCAAGTCTGGGGCGCCTAACTCAGATTGGTGTGAGAGAAGAGTAACTTCTGGCTCACACAGTCCAAGGGAGAGTGGAGGTTGGGGAGGCCCAACTTTGTGGCCTCAGGGGTCTGGGGATGTCTGGAAGCAGGGATCCATGGTTCTGTCCCCTTCTCTCTGCCGGCTCCCCTCATGTGGCTGCAACCAGGGCAGCTCCTGGGGTCCCCTCAGGGAGCCCCAACACCGGCTGGCAATGTGTACACTCTGGGAAGCCCCGGGTGGGCCAGCTGGGCCCGTGTGTGTGTGTGTGTGTGTGTGTGTGTGTGTGTGTGTGTGTCCGGCGTCTGCCCCAGAGGCCCTGCAGGAAGCTGGCGGCTGCTCTGGAAGCACATGATGAAGGTAAGGGGGGGCGGTCGGTCCCCCATTGAGGGGGGAAGTGCGGGCCAGACAAACGACATAGCAGATGTCCCCGACGGCACTCCTGTCCCCTTTGTGGGCGTCTGTGCTCCAGCCGGTGGAGGAGAAACGTCCCTGAGCTCTGGACTCTCGGAAGTGGCCGCCACAGCACCCTGGGAGCAGCGGACGAGCCCGCTGGGGGGTCACAGCAGAGTGTTTGTGCCACATGCGGGAGGGGCAGGGGCGGCGGGCCCCCCACACCCTCCCACCTCGGCCCTGAGGCCGGGGCTGGGGGCCCAGTCAGAGGCAGCGGCCCAGGGCTGGAGACCAGGCCGAGGCCAATGCAGTGGACGCAGCAGGACCAGGGGTCAGCGCTGGGCCGGTCCTGACGTAGTCATGGCGGTGACCTCGTGTTCTGCCGACGAGGAAGCTGAGCCCGGACAGCCGGCCTGCCCGAGGCCCACTAATACGGTTCATCAGCAGCAAGGAGGCCTCGTTCCCACTCCCCGCGGCGCTGCTGAAGGGAGCTGACGGCGGCCCGGGGTGGGGGTGCACTAAGGAGCCCCAGCCGCCCCCCGCTGCGGGGCCCTGCGGTCGGGGGGACAGCTCAGCTCCTCCCCCGGGGCTGTGCCCACACCCTCCCTTGAAGTCGCAGGTTGCCCCTTGGGTGCACGTGACCGTCAGCTGACTTTGGAATCTCACGTACCGCCCCCTCCCCCGGGAAGGCACGCTCCAGCCTCACACGAGCGCGGTCATCCGTGACCCCGTGACCCTGCCTGCAGACGCAGACCCCGCTGCGGGCTCTGCGGACGTGCCCCTCCCCCGCACTCCCCAGGCCCAGCCTCTCCCGGGAACTCGATTTTCTCTCAAAGGCAGAGCCGTGCCTCGACTGCCCTGGTCTTCCTCGCTCAGTGCTTCCTTGGGGTCCGTGCGAGCCCGGGACCCCCGCACGCGACCGGCGAGTGCAGGGGCGCCCCCGCGTGGTTCCCACGCACAGGCCCTCTGACCATGCGCCCCAACTGTGCTCACTGTTTCAGGTGCAGTCACTGGTCTTGCAGAGGAGAGCAGAGAGGGGGGGAAACCTCAACGTGGGAGGGGGCCCTGGTCGGTTGTCCCCCGTACGGATCCTGACCGAGAACTGAAACCTCAGCTCTTTGGGGGACAGGACGACGCCCCGGCCCCCCGACTCGCATTGGCCCAGGCGATGCGCCCCGACTTCAGAAGCTCACGCAGAGACTGAGGTGCCAGCGTGCCGGCACCCGCCGGGGCTCCGTGCGGGAGAGCAGACCCGCCCGGCTGCTGCGAGCTCCCAGGGGTTCGAGGCCGGGAGTTCTCTGCAGTGGTGGGGGACCTGGGGGTCCCCCAGGGGCGGGCTGCAGGGCCACGCCGCCCCGCCTCGGCCCTCCGGCCTGCCCTGGGAGGCGGGAACGGGGCCGCACGGCAGAGCCTGTGCGGAGGCGCAGGTGCTCAGCTGCAGTCCCGGGTTCGGGGACGAAGGAGATGCGGTGGCGGCGTCACCACTTCCCTTCAGCCGCGGGGGCCGTGGTGTGACTGGGGGTCCTGAGCCCAGCTGCCCCTGCCCCCCCAGCCCGACACTCTGCGGGCTGGGCCCCAGGGTGCCCCGGACCTGCGGGAGGGGCACGGGCATGGTCTCCCAGGGGCGCTCCCTGGAAAGGAAGCCAAGGTGCCCTGCAGGCGTCTCTAAATCAGGGCCCAGCACGAGGAACGCCCTGTTTGTGGCAAAGCCATCCGTGTGTCGTCCTGTTGCATAACCATCGCCCTCGCGCACACCACACGGCGTGTTCATGTTCGCATGAAAACCGTACACTGTGGCACCCATGTCCCCGCCCTGCGCACCACGCGAAACAGGCGTTACCCCTGCAGGACCCTGCATTTCCCGGGGACCGCGCTGTCACGGGGGCCGCGGGCCAGGGGAGCCGAGAGAAGCCGGGGCGCGTCCCCGGCCCGGGCTCCGCGCGGAGCTCTGCCAGGGGCCCAGGTCCCCCTCGCCTGTGCAATGGGACCCTCCCCGGCGCCCCCCACAAGAGGGGACACGCTCTCGCGTTCATCAGAAAGGGCTCGGGGGGTCGCCGTCCGCCCTCAAAGAGAGAACCGGTGGGTATCGAAGCGTCGGCACCGCCCAAGCCTCGTAGAAACACACGACCTGTCTCAAGAGTTTCCTTGACACCCTGAGCAAGGGAGCTGTCTGGTCCCCGGGACATGTCCCGGAGCGGGGTCCCCAGCCCCACACTCAGGGTCATTAACCCCGGAACTGTGGGGGAGGACGTGGCCCCCCTTTCTCGTCTCCCTGCAGCACCCGGGGCTCTGGGCCGTGGGGAGCAGGGCGGCTTTGACTGCGGCATTGATATTTGAGGGGGGAGGCTGTTGGGAGACGTCTCCGTCCAGAACCGTCAAGGAGAAGCGGGCCAGCGGGCGCGGTGAGGGCGGAGGGGCAGCCGCATTTCCTGTTTGCCTCTCCGCTGGCGCTGCAAAACACCGCGGGAACACTGTGGGGAGACCCACGAAGGAATTCCACAATTTACTCTCCTTGCCGCCGCCGCCGGCCGAGCCCCAGAGGTGACGCGGAGAAGGGGTGAGCTTCTTTCCCGAGAGTCGGGGTGCGTGGGGGCCCGGCCCCACGCATGTCTGGGGACGGCAGTCCTCCGAGGGTGACCTCAGCGGCTGCAGGGGCCAGGAGCGGCCAGGCAGAGTCTGGTTCTCATTTACAGTGCGGGGCGGCCGGCGGTGGGGAGGGGCCGGGAGGGGTGGGGGGAGGGGCGGGGGAGGGGCGGGGGGAGGGGCCGGAGGAGGCCCTGACTGTACCCCTGGACGCCGGCCAGTGTGCAGCTTGGTCTTCCCCCAAAGGCCGCCGTGCGCTCTCCTGCTCCAGCCGCCTGCAGGGACCTCCGGGGAGCCAGCGTCCCCCCTCCACTCGGCCCCTCTCCCGCAGGAAGAACGGGACACGCTGGGAGCGGGACGGCCATGGGCCAGACCCCGCGCCCCTGAGCGCAGCGCAGCAGTCGGGGAGGCCGCCTCTTCAGGCCCGCTCAGGGTGAGTGCGGCTGCCCCGCCCGGGGAGGGGACGCTTGCGAGCCGGGGACCGTGGGAGGTGGCTCTCAGGGCCCCTCCGCCAGCATCCGATTTCTTTACGAGTTGCAGGTCTCCGGAAGGTGCCGCCGAGTGTTCTTTCTTGGTGTTCGGCCACTGGGCTCCCCTGACACGGCTGAGGCCGTGGGCTGCCCGTGGGTGTACCTGGGCTGCCGCCGCGGGGCGCCTGGGGCTTCCAGCTCCTCGGGGTGTGGGGGGGCGTCTGTGCCTCTGGGCCCAGGAGGTGGGGGCCGCCGCCTTCTCCTTCCCCAACTCGGTGGGAGTCTGCTTTGTTAGCAGGAGCGTCGCTGGGAGAATCCCAGGGCTACCTGCCGGGCTGCTCCGTGCATGGGAGGTGCCTCTGCATTCTCCCAGGTGCCGGCAGGTCCCTTCAAGGTCCCGGCCCCGGCTGGGGGGGGCACATCTGTGGCCTTCAGGGGACTGCGGTGACTTTAGTGTCCGGGTTCGGGGCCACGTCCGGAATTAGCCATGACCGCCAGGGCTTCACCTTTTCAGGAACCTCTGCTGAAGTCTTTGTCCCCTGGGGCTGCTTAAAGGAGCCGCAGGGTCAGGCGAGGAGAAGGCGTTTGGTGTTTGGGCGGCGTGCCCGGTGGATAAGGCCGGGGGCCCTGGGGCCGCGGGGCGGCCTGTGCTGCCCAGATGGGGGGCGGGTGCCAGGCCGGGAGGCCCGGGCTGCTCCCTGGCCGGCAGGGTGGGGCTCGGTCCTCTCGCCCAGGATGGAAAGTGTTTCCTGACGGTTGCCAGCCTGCCTTGGGGACCTTGTTCAAGGGCTCACTGTGTTAGGGAGTCAGTGTGGGTGGGGTGGGGCAGGGTGGGGTCCCGGGAAGGGCCCGTGGAATATGGGGGACTTGGGAAACCAGCACTTCGCAGCCAGCCCAAAGGGCAGGGTTAGGGGCTGGTCTGGACCCCGAGAACGAACCGCTCTGAGCCTGTGGGGGGGTGCCCTGCACCCAGTGGGACCGCAGGGCTGGGGCCCCTTCCCAGGTCCGTCCTTGAGAGCTGCGGGGTCGAGGACTCCTGGGGTGCTCAGAGCTCATGCAGACAGGCCGTGCTCCACCTGGGGTCCCCCGCCTCCCAGGGGACCCATTCCGAGCACTTCGGAAACTTGCACGGAGCTGGCCTTAAGCCCGAGCAGTCTTTGTTTCGAATCCAAACCCTTCCGAGGGGCGGCGGCGGGCTGCTGGACATCGTCGGGACTGCTGGGGAGGTTGTGGGGGTGTCCCCGGTGGGAGCCACTGAGGCGTGGTCCCGCGGTGTTGCAGAGGAAGAATGGGGTGCTCCCAGGGGCCGATGTACTCGCTGGGGCCGCAGGACCCGGGGGCGGGGAGATGGCAGCAGATCCCTGACCGGGGCCGGAAGGCAGACGGCCTCTGGTGGAGACCCCGCGCGGACGGGTCTCTGGGCTCGCACGTGCGTCTGCGTCGCTGCCCCAGAGGACGGTGCCCCGAGCCCTCACCCTGTCACAGGGGTGGGGAACGGCTCTGGGCTCCCCGAGTCCCTGCCGGCACGAGCAGGAGACCCCACTGGGCAGGTGAGCCAGCCGCCTCGACGGCACTGGCCCTGCGTGGGGATCTCGCGGGCGTGGCTCCCTCTTCAGGCCGCCTCCCGTGGGCCTGTGGCTGCGGGCGCCACATGGCGGGGGTGGGGGGAGGCGAGGGGCTCTGGGAGGAATGCACGGCCCAGGAGTGGCCACGTGGTCTGGGTGGCGTCGTGGTTGAGAAGGACGTATTTCGTCGTGGGGTCAGGGTCTCCTTCCGTGTGCCCGGCGGTGTGGCAGCGCTGAGAGGGCGTGGGCAGGAGGGCCCCACTCGGGGAAGGGTCCGGGGGAGCAGGGCGGCGCCCCGAGGCTGTCCCGCCTTTTCCCAGCCGGGGACCTGGAGGGTGTGGCCACCTCCCGGCGCCCGTGGCCCTCTGGAGATCAGGTCTGTGGCGAGTGTTCGCATTTGGGTCTTAAGGACGGTTTTGATGGGAGAAAAGCATCTTCCTGAACGGGGATTGTCCTTCGTCGGCACCCCCGCGTGTCCACCGTGTTCAGGGCTCACCGTCGCCCTGCTCCCGTCACACTGAGCTGAGAACCGGACGCGTCCGTGGGGGGAGCGTGGGGAGCAGCCTCTGGCAGTCGGCGATCAGCCTGTGGCCCCCGAGGGGCGCCCCACTGCACCTCAGCAGTGGGTGCGGGCTGCTGCGGCCACTTCCCCCCCAAGCTGGCTCAGACACCCTGCCCCCCCAGAAAGAACCTGTCGGGGTTCAGGTCCCCCCCACCCAGCGCTCAGGCAGTGGATGAGCGAAGTGTGCTCCCCACTGGCAGGGCATGCCAGCACCCACTTTCATGTGAGATTCCACGCCGGGGACCAAAGATTCCACGTCGAGTCACGGGTTCTGTGGCAGGCAACCGTCGCGCAGGCGTGGCAGTCGTGCAGCCAAGAGTTTCATCTGGAAGCTGGCTCTTGGCACTGTTCTCCTGGGGAGCGCCGGGGCGTTTGCTATCTCTGGGAGAAGAGTCGGACGTGTCCTGGGCTGCCCCCGTCTGCACGGGGCGCCGTGGCTCCCCCTCCCCCCCCGCCGTGCGTGGGCTTTGCCACGGCGACCCCGGGGAGCAGCGGGCTTTTCCCGGTGCCTTGGCCGGGGAGGGGCGGCGGGCAACCCCAGGAATGACCTGACATTTCAGACGTTTTATTAATTGCTCCGACTAAGGAAATGAAACCTCCCCATGCGTCACAATTTAAAGCAGGGAAGCTTTAAAAACAGTCCCTGCACATGGAGGCAGCTTTGAACCAGGTATTCGTAGATACGGTTTCTCTCCTCCCGATGTAACAACTCTTGGGAGAAAGAACCCTTCACAGAAAAGACGCTCTTTGTCCGCCCCGAACCCAGGGTCGTGACAGCCTCCCACTCAGCACACACTGTGTCCTGATCAATTCCCCTCGGCACGTAATGATGCCGATACTCAGAAACCCTAACTTTTGATGCCTTTCGGTCTCCTAGGCTGTTTTGGGGAGGAGGTGAAAAGTCGAGCGAGAGCCTTGTTCCTGAAAGTGAAGTTTGGTTTTCCTTCCTCTAGAGGGCGGCGTCTCCCCCGGAGCACCCGAAAGGAATCTCCCAGGGGCGCGGGAGTCCTCAGGGTGGGGTTTCCGGGCCTGCGGGGAGGAGAGAGTCGGTAGCGGCTCCGCAGAGGTGGGGGACACGGCCGGAACCCCCGAGGGGTGGTGTCAGTACAAAGTGTTTAGGAAGTGGGACGGCAGCCTCCATGGAAGATGCAAACTGAGAATGTTTCCTAGCTCGGGGAGGGAGTGCACTGAGGGGAGAGCACGCTGTCCCCTTCTGCAGGCGACCCGACCTCGGCACCGGCACCGGGGCGACGACCCCCGGAGACCGTCTCCAGGAGGCGCTCACCCCCGCTGCGGAGGAGGGCCTGAGGTAGCCAGGAGGGGTTTCGGGGCCAGTGTCCAGGCAGCATTTCTGAAACTTATTTATTTTTTATTTACATCGTGCCACAATTTCATTCCATTTTATTTTCTACATATAATTTATTGATGATGCTATTACAGCTGTCCCAATTTTTTGCCCCTTTGCCCCCCTCTGCCCTGCCTCCCTTCCCTCCAGCAATCCCCCCGGCCCTCCCACCCCCATGCTTAGTTTATGTCCACGAGTCCTGCATATAAGTTCCTTGGCTTCTCCACTTTCTATGCTGTTCTTTTTTTTTTTTTTAAAGATTTTATTTATTATTTTTAGAGAGGGAAGGGAGGGAGAAAGAGAGAGAGAGAGAAACATCAATGTGTGGTTGCTGGGGGCTGTGGCCTGCAACCCAGGCATGTGCCCTGACTGGGAATCGAACCTGCGACACTTTGGTTCGCAGCCCCATGCTCAATCCACTGAGCTACGCCAGCCAGGCTCTATACTGTTCTTCACCTCCCCCTGTCTACTCTGCACCTACCAGTTATGCTTTTTATTCCCTGTACCTTCCCCCCATCCCCCTTCCCACTCCCCACGGATAACCCTCCATGTGATCTCCATTTCTGTGGTTCTGTTCCTGTTCTACTTGTTTGCTTAGTTTGTCATTTTTTAGATGCAGTTGTTGATAGCTGTGAGTTTCTTGTCATTTTCTTCTTCATAGTTTTGATCTTCTATTTCTTAGATAAGCCCCTTTAACACATCCTATAGTAGGGGCTTGGCGATGATGAGCTCCTTGAACTTGACCTTATTTGGGAAGCGCTTGATCTGCCCTTCCGTTCTAAATGAGAGCTTTGCTGGCTGCAGTCCTCTTGGATGGAGGTCCCTGCTGTGCATCACTCCGACTGCTTCCTGCCATCCCCCCTGCCTGCGCGGTTTCTCCCGAGGACCCGGCTGACAGCCTGTGGGAACTGGTGGGATGTTAAGAGGAGCCGATGCAGTGACTCAGGCTTCCCATTGCCTGCCCTCGGCTGGTTCCTCCTGCTGGGCAGCCCGTGTGAACGTGTTCTGAAGAGTGCCCGCAAGTGGCGGTTATGACCGTCCCACTGAAAGCGTTTGTTAAGATAAAGTAGCCTGAGACGCCCCCCACCCAGGGCCCAAGTGACGGACTCCGGCTCTGAGGGAAGAGCCCCAACCCTCAGCGGGGTCTCAGCCTGCTGTCTGCTCCCACTCAGCGAGAGCCAGTGCTCCACGGCGGGGTGCCCGGGGCCCAGGGAGGGACTCAAACGGCCAGGACACAGGCCCTTCATTCCGGTGGGCCAGCGTGGTTTCCGTCTGGCCACTCAGAATGTTGAAGCGCGGCCACCTCGGTGGGCGCCTTCTCCACCCCTTTGGGACCGCAGGTGGAGGAGGGATGGGGGCTGAGTGGCCCGGGGCTGCCCTCTCCTGGGCGCCCCCTCCTGTTGGGGCTGTGTGCACAGGCGGCCGGGACCAGGCATCCCCGGGAGTCGGTTGCCGAGCGTCACGTGACGGAAGGCCCTTCATGTCTTCCGT